GTAGCGATGTCTGCTAAACCACTCAGGAGGAGCGAATGCAGGAGTGCCTGAGAGACACAAGAAGACCACAAACATCTGCTCCATATGCTCCAGTACAGACAAATTCCCTTTAGTTGATCAGCAGACGTTCACAAACATCAACAGAACGTTTCCTTATGTAACTCAAACCCACCTGCAAAGTATTTGTAGGCCGAGCGCTTCAGCAGATCTCCACAGCTGAAGTCCAGCAGCTTGATGTCCTGGGACTCTGTGAAGATCAGTAGGTTCTCTGGCTTGATGTCCCGGTGCAGAATGCCGTGGTTCTCGAAGTGTTTCAGTGCCACGATCAGCTGCACCAGCACTTCCTTAGCCAGACGCTCGTCCAGACAGCCGTTCTCACAGAAGCCCTGGAGATTTTGGCAAGGAGCCGGACGCTCCAGGATCAAGACGAACCGTCTGGGACGGTCAAACCAGTCCAGCAGCTGCAGGACACTGGGGCAGGCAAGAGCTGAAGTGATGTGGGTCTTTAATGCCACCTCCAGCGGCAGCCGACCCTGACCGTCCTGCAGGACAAACCCTCCATTATATCCAGGACTGAATCAAACACAGCAAACACCACAGATTCACACCAAAACATACAACTTTCAGTCTCTCGGGGGTCATTCGACACGTACTTGATGTCCACCTGCAGACAGAAAAAGCAGAGTAAATCACACCTGCCTGATGGAGACACATGACATTTACTGACAGCAACATTTCTAAAGCATGTCTGAATGAAGGAGGGAAGAAGATCTCTTACTGGCAGTCCATCCGACCTGTGGACCCCAGCAAACACAGAGCCGAATCCACCTCGCCCCAGCAACGGGCCCTTCAGGTACAAGTCTGCGACACAGAAGAGCACAAGAAATGAAGAGAGAAGAGAAAACATGCTGCAGTGTCTTCAATGACAAATCATTTCCTAACTGAGCCAGAAGATCTGGAAGATTTGAGCTGTGCTGACCTCTGCGAGAGCATTGGGCCGGTCTCCGGGAAGAGGTGGACGGTGTTTGCTGGCTGCTGCTTTGCCTTTTCCTCTTGCTGTTTATCTGGTCTGTGGATGCAGAATCAGTCAAACGTGAAGGCAGAGGAGAAAATATCCAGGAAGCTCAGCGGTGTTGTCCTGTGTGTCTGTGTCCAGAGCTGCTGTCTGGGTGAAAGCAGCACTCCTGGGTCTGGAATGGCTTGAAGCTAAAATATGAATCACACACAGAAACACTTTTACTGCTCACTTTCATCACACTTTCAGAAGGAACTTGCAGTTTTTATTGAGCAACTCTGCAGTTTCCATCATTATAATTGCTTTAAACAATAAAAACAAACATTAAAACATGTTTTTATAATTTTTGTTTTATGTAAACTTCTATGATATTTTTCATATCAGTCAATCATCGTACAGCATCATACAGTGACAAACCAATGACAAACTAATGACAAATTAAAAACACTCACCTCCTCTTTCTTCACCCATGTGGGACATGGACAATCTCCTCCAACCTGCAATAAAACAAGAAAATACAGATAAAATATGAAAATTTATTAAAAACAGAGGAAATTAAAGGAAAAATAAGAAAAAAACAAAGTGAAAATGAGAAAATACAACAAAAACAAATGTTTAAAGAAACAATCAGAAAACAAGAACTGAAATAAAAACTGATTAAAGAAGTTGTGCTCTTTATAATTAGTCTTCTCTCAGAAATCCTCGAACAGATTCAGAAATCTCAGGATCCGCACAGAAATGCTCTGCAAACTCGCCTCGTCTCTCAACCAACAGATTGCGATGGGTTTGATTGGTCCGAATTTATATCAACACGCGTTGCTATAGCAATTAAAATAAAAGCGCATTAAAAGATTTTGTAATAAAATTAGAAAGAAATTAAATAAAATGCCGGAATAATTTTAAGAGGCCTTACATTTACGCGAGAAGATATAATAATAGATATAATAATAGATATAATAATAGAATAATATAATATAATAGTCAATAATTTAGCGTAAATAATAATAAATATGATCCTCAGAAAATAATCCAATAACTGTTCTGGAAGCAGTTTATGATGCCTGTAGATTTCATGAATGGAGAATAATATCATCATCGTTCACATTTTCCTTTAAGTATTTATTTCATTTTATTATTGTTTTATTCCATTTAATTCGTTTTATATTTTATTAGACTGAAATTATCAAATTAAAATGTTCAATTAATATTAAATGGCAGCTGCTGTTTACCACAAAACCATGAATAAAAAGTGTCCAGCACCAAAAGTGTTTTATATAACGAGTCAAATCCACTGATAATGATCATATCTTAGCGATTATATAATGATTGTCATTATCAGTGAATTTGACTTATTTACAAGAGAGTCATTAAAATGGAAGGACATTATTATAATTATTACTGTTGTTATTGTTTTATTATTCAGATGGACAATTTCTAGTGAGGTTATTTGTGCGGTCCAGTTTGTTATTTTCCCTATAAATAATAAAACATTTTCTCTTTCTCTTGTGGACTAATAATTTATAGACTATTTTAGCCCAACCCTTCATATTTCTTATTCAACTTTTTACATGTGAAGCACAAATGTCCACTTATTATTGACTGTGATATAAAACTTTAATACATGTTTGTGAATTTATTGATAAATACATTTAATTCAGGTTTGTATACTTTATTGATAAAAGATAATGAATGTATCTTCGCTGGTGCTGCTCGTACAGCTGCAGTTTATTTCTGGTATAATTTGATAATAATTGCTGAAGCTTTTATCACGGTGTGTGTCACACAATATTTGTTATAAATTTATTATCTGACAAAAACAACAACTGAGTTGTGGATCTCAACAAAACTTGACCGAGCAGAGCGCCGTTATGGATCACCCCGCACTGCTCACCGATTTTTTTTTCTTCATTGATTTTATTTTATTTGTATTTTTTTTAATGACTTTAATAATAAACGTACAAAATCCAATTTTACACAAAAAAACATAATGATAATAACCGATCAGGAAAATATATATAAACATATAAAAAATTTAATTAAAAGAGAAACAAAAGAGAGAAAAATATAAATAAATAAAATTAAACAGAGATACATACATAACACAAATACAGCAAGAGGAAACAAGGACTTATGTATCCGTGATATTTCCAAAACATTTATCAGAATAATCCAAGAATCTATCACTTTTCTTGTTATTAACTAGTCTAGGAGTTTTATTAAAAACATCAATTTCTATAAAAAAATGTGAAAAAGAAGGCTGCGAATTGGAGAATTTTTATTTGTGAATAAAATATTTTCCATACAAAATAAAAAAGTTAATAATGTAGTTCTCTGATATCAGTTTTACTGTCATAGTAACAAAAAATATCTTGAAGTTGTAAGGGTCTGGAAGAAGCAATGTAGCTCACTTCACCTATGATGTCATAAATAGAACGCCGTTACGTCATAGGACAGAACACAGTTCAGAAATTCCTCAGAGTGACAAACGAACGAGTAGAGTGAACAGTGATTATCGACTTTAGCAACTTGTTTTGCATCTCAAATGGCAAATAACACGTCAGCTGCGTTTTTTACTCGACTTAATTTGATTAAGACAGTATTTGTCAACCATAATCATCAAAGTGACACGATGGCTTCTCCTACACCTCCTACCGTGATGAGAAGCCCAACAGGTGAGATGACAGTTTACAAAAACAGTGTATTCTCACGTCTTATTTAATAAAAAATATAATAATAATAATATAATATCGCCATAAAAGCGAATTGCCGACTTAAGAGTCAAATATTCAACCTCTCATGTTTGTAATTGTGTAGTGTAGTCGTGATATTGAATATTTTCTGACTCTGTGATTTGAGCCCTGCTGATATTTTATGTATTGACATTCTGGCTTTTAAGTTTCTCATTTCCACTCAACAGAAATTGTGCCTTGTTAACTTTACTGATAAAAAACGTTTTAATAATACTTTAATTGAAATCCTTTGTGTAGTTCTGCACAGTAATGTTCTTAGTTTTTGATGGTGTGGAGGAATATTTGTTATATTTTAGCAAACTGTGTGAGAATATTATATTTAAGTCTTTATTTGTTCAAGCAGGGATGAATTAATACAATTGAGGTAAAGTTGGTTTTATATTCACACATTCTGACTTTCTCCTTAATAATATAACAGAAAAATATTGTTTCAAATTCTAAATGGGGAAATCATATTAACAGCCAATGACTATCATCATATAACAGTGTTTACAGTCAGTTAAATAGTGCTAATGTTGATTTGAAGTCATACTTACATGCAGTTTCAGACTTAATATTGGTAAACAACTTATACGAACTGTTAAATGAACAAATGTGCAAATATAAAACCAACTTCACCTCCATAATAATAAATGTCTAGAGCTCTGTTTCTGTGACTGAAGTTCTGGAGCAAGACTTCTATTTTCATTTGGATTTCTAAGACTGATTGTTAAATGTTTTAAGTTATAATTTACTCACAGATTTCTTACTGAAGCTCCAGAGCGAGAGGAATTGTTCTCTTTGAGTTTGACGATTGCTAATGAAAAGCTGAACAATGTTGATTTAGTTTCATTAGTTTTTCTGTGGTGGAGAAGTGGTGCTTGAGGCAGAATGTAGATGTAGATGTAGCACCCACTGACAAACAAATAAAAGGCTACATAAATTTGATTAATCATTGTGATGGTGATAGTTAAATAGCTCAAACTATAACTGGTAAAACTCAGAATATTGACTTAAAGTCAGTTCTTATAATAGTTTGCATTTTGTGTGAGCAGGAGTGAAATGTTTAATTTTGTTAAATAGTTGCTTTTAGGATTTTTCCTGATGTCTAATATGGACTTATGACTTACAGACTATTTGTCAGCTTGTGTTTGTCATTTTACATCTTAGAAATGATTTGCAATTCCACATAATTAATTTCAGTTTTCAAACATTTTCTATTATAATTGTACATTTATTATTGTTGTTTGTTTTGTGTTATTGTCTTTTATATGTCTAATTTACTGCAGTTTGTCTATTTTGAACCTGTGGTTAAAGAGTTTTCTAATATTTCCCTGTTCATTTCCTTTATTTCAGAAAATCCAGAGAAAAGGAGGAAAGGGAATAAAGCCTCTGCTTTCTTCAAGAGAGCATGGAAGGCTGTGAAGCGCCCTTTCCTTTGCTGTGGCCGGAACAGAGTGGCTCCATTTGAACCACAGTCGGATATCGATGATTGCGAGCATCTGCCTGTTCCAGGTCCCTCCAGGACCGTCGCAGCACATGCAGACCTTGAGCCGGTGTGGCTGCCAGGCCAGGTCTGTGAAGACCCTCAGCCGTTGAGTGTTCCGGGCCCCTCCAGGATCAAGCAAACAGCAGATCCGGCCCGTCCTGAGTTCTCAAAGGCCCTCACAGGTCATGTTGACACTGAGCTGGTGTGTCTGCCAGGCCAGATCTTGGAAGATCCTCAGCCAATCAGTGTCCATGGCCTCACCAATATTAAGAACATGACGGATGCAGATTCGGCCTGTCCTGAGTCGCCTCCGTCTGTTCAAGACCCCTCTGATATTGATGGGACTGATGGTGAGTCATCCTGAATTTGGTTCATCTGTTATTTTTATGCTTTGTTGTTTTTAGCTTGTAAATCAGACAGTGTCATTTGTTGTGCTGTTGGTTGTGTATTAATTAGTAGCTGCAGCTCTGTTCATGGAGATGTTTCTGTTTGTTTTCTTCATTTTAGAAAAACCCAAGAAAGGAAGGAAAGGGAAAAGAGTCTCTGCTTTCTTCAAGAGAGTATGGAAGGCTGCAACGCGCCCTTTCCTGTGCTGTGACACAGATGTAGTCCAGCATCTTACACCACAACCTGAACCTGAACCTGAACCAGAGTCAGAGCCAGAGCCAGAGTCAGAGTCAGAGCCAGAGTCAGAGCCAGAGTCAGAGTCAGAGTCCGAGTCCGAGGCCGAGTCCGAGCTCCGGCCAGAGTCTGAGCCAGGGCTGGAGAATGAAGCTGACCCTGAGGCAGTGCCTGCTGAAATTATGCCTGAAATCGCAGAACCCGCTGACCCTGAGTCAGTATGTCTGCCAGGCCCAGCGCCTGAAGAGCCTAAAGAGGCTTCTGTGCCCACTCGTAGTAAGTCATCATTTCCTTCTGTTTTCTTTAACTCATAATTAATATAATTAGTAATCAATTTACTCCTGCAATTCTGGTAGAAGTTACTGCTTTCAGCTCATTGCATTAAATCCAGATTTAAAGGATTTATTAGTCTTTTATTTGATCCGTTTCATACCAGACAATCCAAGTAAATCTCCCTGCTCTTTTTGTGTGTTTCAGGATTTGATCTGTCTGACTTTAAAGTAGACAGCATGATTGGAGAAGGAGCTTTTGGCAAGGTGTATGTGGCATCTCACAAACTTCGTGAAAGTGAAAAGGTAGAGAACTATTTTTTACATTCAGTCAGCATTTTCCTCCTAATTATTAAATATTAATAGTTTGTTGGCTTTAATTTGCCACTTACTTTGAAAAATTGACTGTTTTTTTTCGCAGGTTGCCCTGAAGTCTATAACCAAGCTTAAACAGGACCAATATCTCAACATTGTAAGTTGAATAATTCACACAACAATAACATTTTCCAGTTTTTGTTTCTGTACTTTGTTTCATTCTGCTCTGGTAATATCTTTGAAATCTGTTGTTCTTTCTAGGATGGTCATTCCACACCTGTGCTTGCGGAAGTGGCAATGATGCTTAGGTTGATGAATGCTCCGCAATGCCCAAATATCATTGGATTACACGACTGGATTGAGAATGAGAGCAGCTTCCTTCTCGTCTTGGAGTACCCAGAGTCAAGCCGGACCTTGGCTGATTACATCACAGTGAGATGGCGAATTAGTGAAAAGCGAGCACGCCGGTTAATTCGTCAGTTGATCCGAGCTGTAAAGTTCTGCACTGAGCGTGGAGTTTTCCATGGCGATATCCACACGGAGAACATCCTGGTGACGAAACCCCGATTACAGCTCAAATTGATCGACTTTGGTTGTGCTTGGCCAATTACCAGCGAGCCTTTCAACAGCAGTGAATTTCGAGGTGAGTTGGCGTTTTGTGTTAGTTTCTTTGCTCACAGTATTGTCTTATGAAATGACTGAATTCTGAAAATGTCTCTCTTATAGGAGCCAGTGGGATCACGCCACCTGAGGTTTTCAAGGAGCCCACATTCTATGCTGACCCAGCAAACATTTGGCAAATAGGCAGCGTGCTGTACGATATATTGCATGCAGATTTGCCCTTTTCTGACAAAGATTCAATAATGTTTGCATCCCTTGAGACACACCCCAGGTTAACTCCAGGTAAGCAGACACCTCTGAACAATCTCAGCCTCAGTGACAGAATAAAATATGTCAGTCACGAGTAAAAAAGCATTGAATATAATGGTTACATACATATTTCACACTCTCTGTGTCACTTTTCAGTATGCCAGAACCTGCTTTCCCAGTGTTTGGCCCGCTGTCCACTTGAGCGGCTGCAGTTACATCAGTTAGAAAAGCACCGGTGGTTCAATCCAACGACCCCAAATCCTGCGCAGCAGTTAAACAAGAGGAGGTAGAGGAACACACCGAGCACAAAACTACATCTTCAGTCTTTCTTTCCTTCATGCTATTCCTGTTCTTTCCTCTTCTGCTCTTTTAGAATCACAAGTCTTATTTGACAGCCCTTCATATCACTGCTTAAATAACTTTGTGTTGTTTTTCTTCATTTTAGAAAACACTAAAGTGAGAAAGTGGAAAGCACAATTAAAGTCACTAAACTAGCATTATCAGTTATTAATTACTCCCTCATGTCATTCCAAACCCCTCAGATCTTACTTTTCAGTGTCAGTGTGTTGATGAGAGCTCTGTCCTGCACTGTGTGTGTGTCCACTGCTGACGTTTACCTCAGATGTGCCCACGCTTTGTTTAAATGAGAGGAAGTCGCGCAGGCCTCTGGGTTATCCGTCAGCAGTGCGACACACATCCAGTGCAGTACAGGACTTCTGAACTCATTATTTTTGTTTTAATATTTTTGTGGTTTTCTTTCTGCATTTAAGAAGTTTCTCTTCAAAATGACAGCTGTAGCTCCAAACCCCTGACACCTTTCCTCATCTTCAGAAAACAAATGAAAAGATTTGAGATGAAATCAAATCATCACACCATGAGAGCTCTGTCCTGCACTGTGTGTGTGTTCACTGCTGACGTTTACCTCAGATGTGCCCACGCTTTGTTTAAATGAGAGGAAGTCGCGCAGGCCTCTGGGTTAAACGTCAGCAGTGCGACACACATACAGTGCACTGCGCTCTTCTGGACGTGCGGTTTGAGGGTCAGAGAGCTCTCAGATTTCATCTCAAATGTTTTAATTTGGGTTCTCAATATAAACTAAACATGAATTTGAACTAAGGACATGAGCTGAGTAATTAATGACAATAATGGTAATGAATAGTGCCTAGACCGCAGCTCTGCACAAGACCTTTGGCCACAGGAGAAATGGTCGTACCCAACCGAGCCTGGTTTCTCTCGAGGTTTTTTCCTTCACTTTTGTCAATTGGTGAAGTTTTGTTCCTCGCCACTGTCGCCGCTGGCTTGCTTGGTTGGGACTTGTGGAGCTGCGCATCGATGGATTTGCTCTTCAGTGTTTGGACTTTCAGCAGTGACAATTAAACCACACTGAACTGAACTGAACTGAACTTCAACTCCAGTGCTGTCACAGTTTTCTCCTCTAAAGTGTCATCAAAGATCTGCTCAACTATTTTCTACCTCATTAATGAATCTGGTGTTCTGTCATAAGAGAGACTGATTGTTTTATAATGAAGTGTTCATGATTGTTTTGTAATGAATTGTTCTTTGAATTGTTTTGTGATGAACTGCTTCTATGTATTGTTGGCTAATAAGTCAAATAAAATCCTGTGAATCAAACTGAAGCTCTGATCATCATTTCTGTGAGTTTTCTAAATGACTCCTTACTCAATTAAAGAGAGAGTTCTCCCTCAACTATTTACTCACGTGCTTCCAAACCGATGAGGTTCTTTCCTCTGTTGAACACTGAAGAAGATACAAATCTGAAAACCTGTAACCATTAATGTCCACAGTAGGAAAACAAACACAATGGAAGTCAATAGTTACAGGTTTCCAGCATTTTTCAAAACATCTTCTTTTGTGTATAACAGAAGAAAGAAACTCATAGTACTTAGAACATAGAAACTCACTGGGAACACAAGCAGCTCTGGGTTCAGGCCTGGAAGAACAGTCTTATGATGATCTCAGTGTGATTTGGGCTGTCGCTTGTAGAAGCAGCTGTTCTGCTCAGTTTCTGCCATCACAAGCTGTCCAGTTCCTGTCTGTTCTTCATTGTCCAGCAACACCAAGACCAAATCTACAAAAATAACAGATAAAAGAGAAACATGTTCAATCATTATTGAAAGAAACACAAAACACCAGTCAATTACATTACAGCACCTTTTAGAAGTATCCAACAATAACTTTTAAATACATTTCTGTCCTCAATTTAAATGTAAAGGAATAAGGAGAGCAATAGTTCTTAAAATAAATGAAGAGATTTATACGTCCTCCTTGTTCTTGTTTCTTTCTCACTACTGTCAGATATCTAGTCAAATGTTACCTGAGTCAAAATGAGTGATTTTACTGAAACTCATTAGAGGTAAAGATCATATTCCATTAATATATATACAGTGGAAGTCAGAATTATTAGCCCCCCTGAATAATTAGACTGCTTGTCTATTTTTTCCCCCAATTTCTGTTTAACGGAGAGAAGATTTCTTCAACACATTTCTAAACATAATAGTTTATTAACTCATTTCTAATAACTGATTTATTTTATCTTTGCCATGATGACAGTAAGTAATATTTGACTAGATATTTTTCAAGACACTTTTATACAGCTTAAAGTGACATTTAAAGGCTTAGCTAGGTTAATTAGGTTAGCTAGGCAGGTTAGGGTAATTAGGCAAGTATTGTATAACGATGGTTTGTTCTGTAGACTATCAAAAAAAAAAAAAAGTATTTTGTCCCAAAAATGGTGTTTAAAAAATTTAAAACTTTTCTTATTCTAGCTGAAATAAAACAGATAAGACTTTCTCCAGAAGAAAAAATATTATCAGACATACTGTGAAAATCCCCTTACTCTGTTAAACATCATTTCAAGAGTTCACACTTAGATATTGCTTGACGACTGTAAGCAGGTTTGGCATGCTGTCCCGGGAGAGAACCCTGAGCTCGGAGATAGTTGAGCCCAGGGCTCCCGCCAGGTCCATAGAGCATGTAAGGGGAGTACGAGATCAGGTGGTTCTCGAGAGCTCCCCTTTTTAAAGGGAGGAAAGGAGGAGATAGGGGGTGGATGGGGGGTTTCTTCGGAAAACGAAGGTAAGGGAGTAATATCTAGCTAGGCTATTTATAGTAATTTGGAATAGATCTGATTGGCTAACTAATGAGTGTAGATTGGCGGCCAGCTGCGGTCAATTATATCACGTGCTCCTCTCGAAATTAGTTAAAAAACTTCACTTCAAGAGTTCACACTTAGATATTGCTTGACGACTGTAAGCAGGTTTGGCATGCTGTCCCGGGAGAGAACCCTGAGCTCGGAGATAGTTGAGCCCAGGGCTCCCGCCAGGTCCATAGAGCATGTAAGGGGAGTACGAGATCAGGTGGTTCTCGAGAGCTCCCCAAATGCATGAAGCTCGGGACAGCAGCCGTGTATTCGAAGAAACTCCCCAAAAGGCTTGAAATGCTATATCCGGCTGCTGGATATAGTTATTTGAAAGGAAATGTAAAGAGGGCTCCTTGGAGCAAAGGGTGACACAGGTTCCTACGGGAACCCGAGCAGAGTTGGCTTGGGCTGTGAATACTCCTGCTGGAGTAGAGACTCGGGGAGACCCCTGCGGGGGTCAGAGCCATGGGGTGGGCGGGAATCCTGCTGGAGTCATTACAAGGGAAGGGGAGTGAAGGACTCCGGCTGGAGAGGGGGGTGAAGGGGGGCAGGGGGGGGCGGGGACTCCAAAGGAGTAATTTGCTCGAGGAACACTCCTTGCGGAGATTGAGCTGGGAGGTGGCAGCACTATATATAATTATATATTTATATGAAACATATAGATATATAAATATATAATGGGGTAATCTAGGGCCTTGGGGGGGGCGTTTTTTACTGACTCTTGAGAGAGTCGAAGCTCTTGGCTCTCCTGCGGGAGAGAGAGCTGTATGTGCCATCTCCAGCTGGAGTCGGGAAAAGGAATGGTCGGTGAAGCCCCAGCTGGAGGGTGAAATGGCAGTTGGGCGATGACCCCTGCGGGGGTCCGGTGCTCGGGATTAACTCCGCGGGAGTTAGAGCGTGAGGGTGACAGCACTATATATAAATATATATTTATATGCGTGGGTGCATATATATATACATATATATAAATAAATTTAAAAAATAAAAGATAAATGTGAGAAATAAACAGAAATAAATGAATAAAAGCTAGGGCCGGGGAGGGTCGGTGACATGGCTAGTGTCACAGCTCGGGGCTGGGTGAGCTATTTGGCTGGCTCCAGTAGGAGTCTGGAAAGATGAGGGGAAGGTGAAGACTCTTTCTGGAGGGTGACGGGCGCTATAGGTGCTCTGGGGGTGTTCCTGCGGGAACAGAGCGTGAGGGTGACAGCACTATATATAAATTCATATTTATATGCGTGGGTGCATATAGATGTGAATTTATACAAATAAAATCAAACAAAGAGAAAAATAAATAGTGCTATACTATATGTCATTGAAATGACATATAATATAAAAAGCTAAGGCCGGGCCGTGAGATGATTCCTGCGGGAATCGAAGCTCGGGGTAACGCCCCTGCGGGGGCCAGAGCCATGGGGGGGGCGGGGTCCTACAGAAGTTAGAAAAGTTGGTGGGCAGTGAAAACTTCTGTGGCAGCGGCCAGGGGGGGCGGGGGTGACGGGGGGGCTTGGGCAGGGAAAGAACTCTTACTGTAGTTGGGTGAGTGAAAAGGGGGAGAAGGCTGAGTGCAAATCAGCTGGAAGGAAGAAAAGAAATTAGATGGCTGGGTCATGCCCGTGCCCTTGAGAGACTTGGTAGTTCCTCTGCCCTCGGGAAGCTGGTATAGCTGGGTTGTGTTCTTTCCTTGTACTAGGCTCGTGCCTTTGGCCGCTGGGATAACTGCAACG